AGGGAGAGAATGTGGAGCTCTCAGCGTTAGGAGTGATCTCTCAGGATCTTTCCTGGATCTTCTTTTTTTTTTTAAGTAGAAGAATTAGTAGTCATTTAACTTAAAGGACTCAATAACAAAAAACAAACCAAACCAGATCTTACGGCCAAGTTAAGATTTTGCCTATGCCAACAATCCGATCTCTATTATATGCAAATATGACAGGACAACTCATTTAGGTTTAAGGTTTTTATTGTTTTTCCAATAGTAGGGATGGATGTGGATCTCATTTTTGTCCAATGTCCGTCAAACCAAAAGCAAGCACATATGGGATAGGCAGGATAGCAAGATTCCTTCCTTCCTTCCCACTTCCAGCTCCCTGAGAGCAAGACTGGGGGCTTTCGGTTTTGTTTTTGGCCTTTCTCTGTATCCCTAGTGCTTAGCACAGTGCCTGACACGCAACAAATACGTGTTTCCTTCCTTCTCTTCCCTCCTCCTCCCTTCTTTTCCATCTTTCCTTCCTTTCCTGTTCCTGGCCTTCTCTCCCCTCCCTCCCAATTCTTTCCCTTCCTTCCCTCTCCATCCATTCTTTTCCTCTCTTTCCTTCCTTCTCCATCCATTCTTTTCCTCTCTTCCCTTCCCTTCCCTCTCCACCTCATTTCTTCCCTCCTCTCCCCTTCCCTTTCTCTCCTTCCTCCCCTTCCCATCCCACCCCTTCCTAGCCCTCCCACCCGGGCAGGCCCGCCACCTGCCGCAGCAGCCTCGCGCTCCGCCTCCACCTGCCCCACCCCACCCCGCCCCGCCCCATCCAGCTGTCAGCCCTCGCTGGCCCACGTGGCTCTCGGGACTTGCCGCAGCCGCGCCCGCCGCAGAAGCCACAGTGGCAGCCACCACCACCGCACGCCGGAGGGAAAGGCCCCCAGGCGGCAGGGAGGCGGGGGGGGGGGAGAGGGCGGTTCCCAGGGGAGCCGGGCAGGCTGGCGGACATCCTGGCGGCCTATTCCCAGCCTGCCCGTCGGCCCAGCACCTGGCCACTGGCCAGCCCTGGAGTGGCCTGGGATCTCTGCCCTCGGCACAGGGCCCGGGGCACGCGGGAACCTGGCACTTCCGGGCAGAACTGGCTCCCAAACTCGCATCCCGGGCCTTGCCGGGAGGCCCGCTGTGGGTGGGGCCCGGAGCCGCCAATCAGAGCAGGAGGCAGAGGCTTGAGGGGGCGGGGCGGATTCGCGCTCTCCTCCACAGCCAGCCGGCTTTGGAGCGTCCCTTCTCCTGCGCGCCCAGGCCCTCCCGCTGCTATGCCAGCGTCTGTCCCGTGCGGATCCAGGCCCGCCCAACCCAGCCCTTCCAGATCCCTGGACCTAGACCCACCTAGCCCCGAACTCTTTAAATTGGAAGGGACCTCAGAGATCGCCATGGAAAGCCAGTACCTCATTTTACCCGAGAGGAAAAAAAGTACGGGGTGAGGACCCTTGCCCAGGGCCACACAGGATCCAAACCTTGCCCCTTTCCCACTACATCAAGCTGCTTGTCTCTAAAAATGTGCTCTCAGTGAGCTGCGTGTTCCATTGGAAGTGATGTGATCACTTCTCTCTGTGGAAGTCACATTCCATTGCTGTCCAAGGGATCCGTGAATAAATGAATTAAAAAAAACCAAACAAACTAGTATTAAGGCCTTACTAAGTACCAAACACTGGCTAAGCAGTAGGTAGAAAACTCCTGTGCTCGAGGAGCTTCCATTCTAATAAAGGTAACACATATGGGGGAGGAGTGGCCAGGGAACGTAGTTTGGGCCTGGGGGGGCGGAGATGGTGAGTTGATGGTACAGAACAAGAAGAAGATGGGCCTCAGTTGTGGCAGGTAGATAGCAACATAGCCTGGGTGCCCGGCTGGCTGGCATATGGAGGCAAAGCTGCTCTGGTGCCTGAGGCCAGCTAGGAAAGGGAGTGGGCTAAGTGGGCTAGTTTGGACTCACCCAGGCACCCCTCATCTATAGCTGTGGGGTCCAAATACCATTTGCAGGAATGCAATGGGATGAAAAGTAACAGAGGTTCCTGTCCAGGGAACCTGCTAGTTGGGACGCTGATAGATGGCACTTCAGGGTTGGTTGGAAGGATCTGGATAAGCATTTACTGAGCACTCACTGAGATGGCTCCGTGGCACAGTAGATCAGGACTAGAGTCAGGGAGACCTGAGTTCAAATCTTGCTCAGACATTACTAGATGTGTGACCCAGGGTAGGTCACTTAACCCTGTTTGCCTCAGTTTCTTCATCTGTAAAATGAACTGGAGAAGGAAATGGCAAACTGTTCCAATATCTTTGCAAAGAAAATCCCAAATGGGATCATGAAAAGTCAGACATAACTGAAACAACTGAACCACTGGGCAGCTAGATGGCTAAGTGGATAGGGCACTGGGCCTGGAGTCAGAAAGACCCGAGTTCAAATCCAGCCTTAGATACTTATTATCTGTGTGGCCCTGGGTAAATTGCTTAATCTCAGTTTGCCTTAATCCACTGCAGAAGGAAACAGCAAACCACTTGAGTATCTTTGCCAAGAAAACCTCACGGACAGTATTGGCGTGCTCAGGAGTCACAAAGAATTGGAAGTGACTGAATAACAACAGCAAGTACCTACTAAGTGCCAGGCACTGTGCTAAAAGCTTTATAAATATCATCTCATTTGATAAGCAGTAGAGGAAAGGGCCCATAGAGGAGTCTCTGGTCAGAGCTTGTAGACCACTGGTACCTTAGGAAAGGGATCTCTTGTCTATGGGAAGCAGGGCACAGACACAAGCTGAGCATGGCTCCCACTCACTCATGTGGCTTCCTTTGGAAGAACTCTGACTTACAACTCGGGCCACTGGCTGTTAAGGCATCTCCCTAGCCTGAGGAGGAGCGAGGCTTCGGCCCAGCTCTGACAGTTCTGTTCTTTCTTTCTACGTGGTCACAGAGAAGAACTCTCCAGCTCTTCCCTGCTCAATAGTGAGCCTGCCTCCCTTCTTTGTAGCCACTGAACAATTTAATAAATGCACCTACTTGGATACTTCAAGCATTCTTGATTTCAGCCATGTAAAAAGTTTGCTTCCAATGACACAAATACAAATTCCTCCATCACTTAGTATATAGTTTAGTGAATTACTATAAGATAAAACAAATCATCACTGGGTAGCTAACCCTGCTCAAAAGAAACTCATTCATGATAGATAGATAGATAGATAGATAGATAGATAGATAGATAGATAGATAGATAGATAGATATAGATATTGTCAAGTCATTTCAGTTGTGTCTGACACTTCATGACCCCACTTGGGGTTTTCTTGGCAAAGATGGAATGGTCTGGCATTTCCTTCTCCAGCTCATTTTACAGATGAGGAAACTGAAGCAAACAGGGTTAAATGACTTGCCCAGGATCATTCAGCTAGCAAGTATCTGAGGCTGGATTGGAAGTCAGAAAGATGAGTCTTCCTGACTTCAGGCCCAGCACTCTATCCACTGTGCCACCTGTAAGAACATTTTACCAAATGTTCACTATGTGCTAACTTTAAACAGGTAGGATGTAACGTCTAACTTTCAGACCCATTTGCATTTTACCTTTCATTCATTTCAGAAAATCTTTTTTCGAGCACCTAATATGGGTAAAGTATTATGCTAGGCACTAGCATAGTGATAAGATGTAGACAAAGGACATAAGTGTAAGAATCAGCTCCTGCCCTCAAGCAACTTAGGGTTTAGGAGGATTGTGAAGACAAAAAAGCAAAAAGCCACAAGACAAGGCAGTATATTTGTTGTATCAGTAACTGAAACAGCTCCAACAAAAGATAGGGGGGAAGGAAATCCCTTCAGCTAGGGTGCTCATACTAGTTTGGAAAGATGGTATTTGAGTTGAGCCTGGAAAGAGGCAGGATTTCAATAAGCAGAGGTATTATAGGATGTAGGCACATTGTGATCAAATGGCGTGGAAGCTAGAAGGCATAAGGCACAAGGAGGGGCAGACGTGGGTAAACTTGTCTAGCTACAGCAGAGGATTCTCAGGAGTGAAGGGAAATAAGGTTAGTAAGGCAAATGACACCAGATTATGGAGAGCCTGGAATTGGAGGCTAAAGGGTTTAGACTTTATCCTGCAGATAATGAGAAGGCCCAGAAGGATTTTGAACTGGAAAATAACAAGGAATAAAGCTTTGTCTGGCAGAAGTCGTCAGTGATCTCTTTAGCCCTGAGTGTCACCATTAAGCTAAGCAATATTTGTCAGGCCTAATGTAAAAGAAATAAAGGGCAGATAAAGGAGAAATGAAGGAAAAGACAAAGAATTGAAGTGAGACAGACACAGGAGAGGAAGCTGAGGATGGGGACAAGCTAGGCAGCAATTTGTCTGAAAAAGGCCGGGGGGGGGGGGGGCCGTTAGGCTCAATATGAGTCAGCAGGTTGCCTTGGAAGCCCCCAAAAGCCAGTTGGATCATGGGAGTCTGGTGGCCAGTCTACCTGGCCCTCATCCAGACTCCAGCAGCCCGGATCATGAAGACACTAGATGATGACAGCTCGAAGGGACTGGGAAGGTTAAGTCTGGAGTAAAGAAGGTGTGTGTTTGGGGGTGGGGTGGGGAGGGGAGGAAGGGGGCAGGTGAAAGCTGTCTCCAAATAATGGAAAATCCGTGATGCTCCTGTGAGAAAGGCCCAAACTAAGGGCAGTTCCTGGCAGGCCCCGGGAGGTAGAAGAATTGTCTACCTATGCAAACTGTCTGAAAAGGATCTTGGCTGTGTCATGAGGTAGTGAACTTAAAAGTCCTCTGAGCTCGGAGGTCAGGAGGGTGGCAGATCTCTGAAGTGCTGTCCATCTCTGATTCCTATGCTCCAACCATCCTAAGTGCATCCTTTGAAAATGGCAGGGAAGGGGATCTCAGCAATGGCCTCGGGTGCACTCAGCAGTCCTCCCCCATCCCCCTTCCCCTTGCCCACCCAGACTCAGGGCTGGCGTTGTGTCCAGGCTCCCACGGTGGGTGGGGCATTAGGACCCAGCACTGGAGGTAGTGGAATCTCCAGCTCCCGTGTTTCTCCCTGGCTCCCTCCTCTCTTTGTCATCCTCCCTAGCAGCCTAGCAGACTGCTGCCACTGCTCCTGCTGTCTGGGCAGCTTTCCTCCTGCCTCCACCCCTTCGGTGGTTACTGCCTGGCTCGGGCCAGCCAGGGAGCCCACAGAGAAAGGAGCCAGGAGGATCTGCCCCTCCTGTCCCAATGGCCTCCCCCAGGACGGTCACCATCGTGGCCCTCTCTGTGGCCCTGGGGCTCTTCTTTGTCTTCATGGGGACCATCAAGTTGACCCCCAGGCTCAGCAAGGATGCCTACAGCGAGATGGTAAATGCAGGCGTTGGGGGCTAATGAGGGGCGCTGGGGGTACCGTGTTCCTCTGCTGTTATCCCCATCCCTTAAATGTCACCTTCTTCCCTTCTCCCCAACAACTTTGCAGCAGGAATAGCCATGCAAGGGAAATTGCATCTGGGAGCTCCTCCGGAGGGCTTGAATGCTGCAGGGGGGAGGGGCCACCAAACCCTGGTCCTGGCCCGATGCTCTGACCTGTGAAGTAGCTGGCTCCGCTAGGGAGTCCCGGCTGGGGCCCACGAGCCTGGGGAACCAGTGAGGAAAGCTGGTCCTTGAGGGATGGAGCCGAGAGTTCCTCTAGGAGGAAGGAGGCCAGCCGTCCGGAGCTCTGCTACTTCAGGGTTAGGATGGGGCCGGTCCCCGGTCCCCGGAGCACCGGAGCAAGTGGAGTCAATGGCCTTTGGTGGCCGGCCGGAGAAAGGCCCCAGCCGCTGGCTCTGGGGCTGCCTTGGCCTGTCCGAGCCCACTTAGCTGCTTGGGATGCTGGCGGCTAATCTGCAAAGCCTGCTTCTCTCCTCTTTGCTCTGACAGCCAGGCATTGCCTTTCTTCTCGGGGCTGCGCAGGGCCAGGTCTTTCTCGGGGTTTGCCTGCTCTGTACATCTGGGATGAGCAGAGGGGCCAGACTGGCCGGTGTCTGTCACCCCTCAGCCCCCACCTTGGCCGTTGGCTTGCTCTTCCTGGAAAGGAGTGAGGAGGACCTGCGTGGATTCCTCAGTGCACCAGGAAACGCCGGTGGAAGTTTCTAGTATTTTCTGGTTCTTTCCCACAGCACCTGCCAATTAGCCCCTTGCTCGTCCCACTCGGGCTGACTGTACCCTGCATCTGACAGCCCTGGCTTGACTGTTACAACCAGAGCCCCACCTCCTGGGGGGGGCGGGGGGAAATGCTGCTTAGTCTAAGAGCTGGAGAAAGGGAGAAAAAAAGTGGAAGCAGGGACTGAACTGGAGATTTTTTTCACCTGGGGCAAAAATAATGGGGGGGAGGACATAAAAGATGGCCAAGTATGGTTACAGGGCATCCCCCCCTCCACTGTCCCCTGGCTCACAGCCCCCATTCCCTTCCCCTCTCCTGGAGCCTGGCTTCCCCAGCCAATGGGGAAGGGACAGCAGTCTCCAGACTGCCAGAAGTAGGAAGTGTACCCCACCCCCAATATTGGTGCCTCAGCAAAGCCCTGGTTGCTGCCCTGCCCTAGTTACAGCTCTGGGTAGGGGGGTTTCACTACTGACACTAGGGCTGAGAATTTCTCCACATACACAGGGGGAAAACAGCTTTTTGGGAGACTAGTGCACATCCTTTGGGGCTACCTGAAAAGCCCCTGGGAATGAATGCCACTAAGGGATTTGGGGGCATTTGATAACAGTTTTGCATTTTTGTAATAAAACTAAATCAAACCTGAGCCCATCCTGTTCCAGGGTTTGGCCTGAGGTTTGCCTCTCTTGGGGGGGTGGGGGTGGAGGGGGGGGCAGGGATCAGGCTCATGGCTATCTCTAGTGGTGTCTGGGGTTGGAGACCATGTCTAGCAGGCAAAGAACTGCGTAAATCACAGGGAATCTCCTCTCTCCCAACTCAATCTTTATACAAGTGAAATGACCATTAGCAAGAAGCCAAGGAGCTCATTTATATGAGTGATTGCTACAATCCTATGGTTGAAGATTTACAAAGCACCTGCCTCCTCACAACCTCTGAAGTAGGGAATACAGGTATTACCATCCCCATTTTGGAGACGAAACTGAGGCCCACAGAGATCCCCAGACTTGACCATAGTCAAATTATATAACTAGTAAGTGCCAGTCAGCAATGGGCATCATGATTTCATCAGACTGACCCATGCCCTTGGATCTGAGCAGTGGCACCTGGCCTTGCTACCATCTTCAGGGCATTTCTTTTTTAAATTGAAATTGCCTGGTTGGTGAGTGCCTTCCGCATTCACACTGGTCTCTTCAGACACATCCCAATTTCCCTCCTCAATGGAACTGCTTCTTTTATGTCTTTAGAATTCCTTCTTGAGCATCTCCCAGCCCTCCAGGGCTGACTGCCAGGGGATCCCACCCATCTTTCCTCCAAACCCTTTGAAGCTGGCCTTCCCCAAATCTAGGGTGTTGCATGTCAGACTGTGTCTGGATTTTCTTCCTTTCCTGATCCCTAAAGAGAGCCCTTGGCTATATACCCAGCACGGTGGCAGCGTACTAGTTGTATGCCTAGGCCAACCTCGGGGCCTCAGTCTCCTCCCTCCTGCCTACCTCACAAGGCTGCTGTACGGATCAACTTAGAGAGGGGATGTGAAAGTGCTTTGCAAACTGTCAAGCACCAAACACCTGGAAGGTGTTGTTGGAAAAGTGGCCAGAAAGCCCCTTTTGCTGGCTTTCATAGGCAGGGCCCTCAGGGCACTCCAAAGAGCCTCTCCCTGAGACATCCAGACCAGCAGAGCTGGAAGGGGGTTCAGAGGGCCACCTAAGGCAACAAGCCTTTCATTAGACGACCTAACTGGAGACCAGGACAGTCTGAAGGAGTGAAAAATGGAAATGATCCACTACTGGAAAAGCCCTGCAAGTTTATTATTTTCAAATACCAACTAACTAGAAATAGGCTAACCAAAGTGTTGCCTAGTAGAGGTTTTTAGGCATTTACTTAAAAGAATACAGGCATGCTTTGCAGCTGGCATTTTTTTGTGACATAAACTAAATTTATAAAGGATTGAATGAGATAAGATATAGCATGCTTTGTAACCCTTAAAGCACTATATGAATGCTAGCTATTAACAACAACAACAATGATGTGTTTGTAGATGCTTGGAAAGCTTATTGTCTGGAGTTTAAACATTTCCCAGACAATCTCATTTACACCATTTGTTTAGCAAACACTTTCTGTCTTTAAGGATACTACAAAGGTATATTTCAACAAAGTCCTCATCTGAATTATTACAAGTTCCAAGTCAGGGAATTCCTAACAATAATGATAATAATAATAATAATAATTACATACTACAATTCCTTTATTGTTTTCTTTCATTTTAATTTTCAGGAGAATCAGTGTTGTGAGGAATTTCAATGGAGTTTGAATTTGGCAGTTGGCAGGGTAACACATTTTGCAGACTAAGTAGGACTTTTAGGGGTCACAGGAAGATAGATTTCAAGATGGAAGGGACCTCAGAAGCCACCAGATCCAACCCCCTTGTTTTGCAGTTGAGGAAACTGAGGCCCAGAAAGGTGAAATTACTTGCCTAAAAGTCACACAGGTTGTAAGTGGCAGAGTCAGGATTTTAACTCAGAACTTCGGACTAACTTGCTGCCTCCCTGAAAATTGTTTACAGGGATCAGTTTAATGAATAGTAATCAGGTATCCTGTACCATAGTACCAGACTCTCTGCTTTGCCCACTCCTGTGTCAAAAAGGATTTCAGTACACACACACACACCCACACCCACGCGCAAATGCATGCCCTCCTATACATACCTATACATACCAGACCTGTGATTTCATCAGTATAAGAGGCTCCTGCAATGAAAATTCCCTCTATTGATTTGGAAGTTGGTTTGCACCTTATATTCTAAGGGACCTGTCTAGGGCACTGCCTTCTTCACCATGGTCACACAGTTTGTGTGTGTCAAAAGCAGGACTCTGACACCAGGTATTCCTGACTCCAAGGCTAATCTTCTATCCACTCTGCTACACTCTCTTCTAGCCAGTCTATTAGCAAAGTAATTTTAGTTACAGAGTTCTTATTTGGAGGGCACGGTGGGGAGATGGGAAATATGTCCTAGGCTTGTATGGAAGGGGATCAATGGGGAAGAAGGCATTTATTTCTATGGCAGTTTTTTCCATTCCCATGTCATGGGCCAGGTTTGATACAATGGCTGCCTTCTGATATTCCCATTCCAGAAACGTGCCTACAAGAGTTATGTCCGGGCCCTGCCACTGCTGAAGAAAATGGGTGTGACTTCCATTGCTCTTCGAAAAAGCATCGGGACCCTCGAAGTGATCTGTGGGATCATCATGACCGTGGTCCCCGGCCGGCCCAAAGATGTTGCCAATTTCTTCTTGCTCTTACTGGTCTTGGTTGTCCTCTTCTTCCACCAACTGGTTGGTGACCCCCTCAAGCGCTATGCCCATGCCCTGGTCTTTGGGATCTTGCTCACCTGCCGCCTGCTGATTGCCCGCCAGCCTGAGGAACAGTTTACTGAGAGGAAGGCCTTCTCCCAGGGTGGTGAGGGGCAGGCCGCTCCCCACAAGAAGGTCAAGGTCAAAGTGTCATAAGGAAGCAGCCTTACATGGTGGACCTTCCAGGCAGCTTCCTCTGAGTAGCCCAGGAAGATCTCAGTGCATTCTGTTCCTTTTTATTTCTTAACTGATTGCTTTTCTGGGAAAGGGGGACCTAATATGCCACATAACGGTCCTGATGTTTGTGTTCCCCTATGCCCTAAAATTAGCTCCTGACCCAGCCATAGACCTACCTTTTATCACTCCTACATCTGGCTGCATGTACATGCGTGTAAGATCACTTCTCAGGTGTTTGTGTGTGTACAGATGTGAGTGCAGGAGGAGGCGGCTTTGGTCTCAGAGAATCCTCACTTTATGTACATTCTAGGTGGAGACAGATGGAGATGGCTGACCGTGTACAGCTTGGAGGCCCATGCAGCAATTGCTCAATTTGGCTGACTCTGGGTTCTTTCTTCTGCCACCTGTTCCCTAGCTCCCTGGCTGACTTCTGTAGCTGGAAATCCCCTGATATTACAATTGGACCTCAGAGGGTTTGATCCTTCCCTTTGGGTGCTAATACCACTTTTTCCCAGCAGGTGTTTCTAACTAATCTTGCCCCATACATCATTCCGTAAATCTGGGGTGTCAGATGATGCAGAATTAACCAACCTCCTCCCTCATCCATTGTGTAAACTGGAAAGCCCAGATGCTGAGTTAATTTAGATCAAGAGGTACCTGCAATCAACGGAAAGTTGAATCCTGTTGTAATGGAGAAATTAGAGTTTCCTAAATTTAGAGCTGGGAGGAATGTTAGTGATCCCTTATGGGCCAGATGAGGAAAGCACGAGGAGAATCAAATGACTTGCCCAAGGTTCCGCAGCTAGTAGGTTCTTTGGATACAAGTTCCATTCCTGTCGCTGTACCCCTCTGCCCCAGCTCGAGCCCCCCAGGCCTGAATGGCCACAGAGTCGCCAACCTGAGCAGCCAACTTTTCTGCAGACACCGGGGTCTGCCTCTGCTAATCTCAAGCCTGCTCAGCCACCAATCAGGATTCCGCTTCTGCTCTGCCTGGCCCTTCTTGCTGAGGGAGCAGGACGGGGGCCTGTTCAGTGTCTACGCACCTCCCCGACTCATCCCCAAAGCGCCCAAGCGAAGCTATAACTTCTCGCCGAACAGAAGCTCCCTCCTTACTGACTTTGCACTGAGGTTGAACTGGGTCCAGGTTTGCTACTAGGAGCAGTGCCCTGACCCATCCCTACATCTGTATCTCTCTTCATTAGAGGGGGACTGTGTGAAAAGATGAGACTCAAGCTGAGCAGGCTGTGGAATGGCTGCCTTGGATAGAAACTGCTGGTTTGCTGGCTGTCGGTCAACCAGTTCTGGGGGTTGTTGTGCCAGGGAAGGGGAAGAATGGGATTGTCATTTTGGAAAAAAAGTGTCACCATTCTTGGTAAATGGCTTCCTCCCCTCTCCCTTTTTTGTCTCATTCTTTCCAAATAAACTTTTAGAAATTTGAAGGATACTGTCTGGGCTAATATTCAATATCTGGAAGAAATGGCCTTCTCAAAGGCTTCCAGGTCCTTCATGACACTCCTCTAAGGAGGAAGGAGCATCATTTCATACCATGATGAGGTTATATCATTTCCCCTCTGTTAGGTCCTCTTGCCAACTGAAAATTTCAGCCTGCCACCTTGGGGAAGAATGTCCAACCATGACAAAACTATTCAGACATTCCAGAGATAATGTGTCAAAGCAGCTGAGGAGGCAGAAGAACAACATTTGGGGGAGGAGGGGGTCCAGTCAATCAGAAGGCAAAAAAAAAAAAGGCCCTGCTCTTAAGGAACTCCCACTCTAGCATGAGGGATGATATATATGTAACTAGATATGTATATGGGAAAGACTGTGAGCCAGGAGGGCCGCTTTTCCCCCTCAGGGTTCCATGGGTATCCTGAGGGGCTCTGGGTTACCTCTTCTCTACGTCCACCCTGGATGAGCTCATGGGTCACTAAGTGAGACAATATAGACTCGGGGTTCTTAACTTGGGGTTCATGAGGGTCTGTATATAGACTTAAGGAAACAAGCAACATGCATTTTCTAAGTGCTTCCTATGTGCCTGGTACTGTGCTAAGCACCAGAGATCCAAATATGAGCAAAAGGAAAGCTGGTCCCTTGCCCTGACGTAGTTTACATTCTAGTGGGGGAAGATAATGCCTAAAAGCAGGTGGGGGAGGGAGGGAGGCACCCATGTGGGGCCCTGGTGGCCAAGTCTGGAGCTAGAAGCACAGCTGAAAAAGAATATAGCATGTCCAGCCTGGGCCTCTCCCCAAAATGTAGGCCTCTGGAAGGAACTCACTTTGGAGAATGAGTGCCACCATGGTGGAAGGAATGTTCCAGGGCAAGAAGGTCCCAGGTGTTGAGGGAAGTTCCAGGGTAAGAAAGGAAGTGAATTACTATGACAAAGTCCAGAGAGTTAGAAGCACAGGTAGGAGGGAAAAATGATTGGAGGAGCTAATGATCTAGCTACCTGATGGACCCAAGAAGCCTGCTCATGGAAAGACTAAATCCAACTCTTTCCTCCCAGATTCCCGATAAAATTAAAGGTTAAATTGGAGCCCAAGGTTCAAACTGCACTTGATCAGAGTCAGAAATCCCTGCTGAAGAAGCCAATGCCCATCCTGGTGCACCACCTCCTCCAGGGCTGCTTCCACAACTCTCACTCACATTAGCAGGCTGGGTCCCCTACTTCTCTGTTCCTCACAAGGCCCCACTGGTGTGTTTCCCATTTATTATCAGCCAGTAGCCATAATTAGCTTTTAGGAAAAGGATTTACTGAGCTGAGACAGCAAGAGCAGCTGGTACAAAGAACAGTTCCCTAAAAGTCTGGGGCCCACTCTCCCATCAATGTACACAGGACCCATGGGAGAGTTGTGGACAGGTTTAGAAATCCAGTGGTGGTGAGGTGCACACTGAGAGAACACATGTGGCCATGGGGTAATTGGAGTTCCTCAGATTTCCCCCTCTATGAAGTTCCCTTTAGTTGTAGCTCTTAGCCCCCGGAGGTTCTCTTGTGGAGTTCTCGGGCCAGTTTTCCTCAGTGTGTCTGCTTTGCTCTTCGCACATCCTGCAGTTCCTGATATGGCCGTTGCCATCAGCCAAAGCTGCTCTGGAACACTGCTCTAGTAGACACTGTTGCTGAGGCCACTTGGTCACTTCTAGGCTCCTCCCCCTCCTCCTCATACAGGTATGAGGGTCAGCCTCCTTAAGGCACTCCTGAAGCTTGACTGGTTTAAAGGCTCTAGTATACAGAAGCCCTGAGTTCTGTCTAATTCTTTCAGCTAGTCACAAAATGTTTCCTGTGTGGCATCATCTGAAATGCTCCACACTTCTCAGACTGATCAAAGACCCTCGATTCCAAGCTGTGAGAGACCTACCCGCAAAGGAGGAAACTGACTCCACAGAGGAGAAGTGACTTATTCAAGGTCACAGAGGTAAAGCGAAGCACCGCCAGCATTCAAAACCAGGACACTTTTCCTCTGTCTCCCAACAGCTAGTCTGGATCCCAGCTCACTTTTTGGTCCCTATACATCACCTTCCTATCCCCTCCACCCATGTCACAAAGCTGGATTTACTGAGAGCCAGTTACTTGCAAGGTGCTATAGAACTGATGTTCCCAGGTCTTAGCCCTGCTTAGTGGGAGGGCTGAACCCCCTCCCCAGCGAAGAGGCAGACCCAGCCTCCAGTCCCTTTGATTTGGTTCAGTGATTATTCACACAGGTAGGTGCTGTGATGGGCTCTGGGAATAAAAAGGCAAATGCCAAATAGCCCTTGACCTAAAGGGGCTTATACTGGAATGGAGGCAAACAATATATACAAAATATAGAAAATAAATACAGCACAATCAGAGGGCAGAGGATGCAGTAAGAGCGGGGGTGGGGGGGAATCAAGAAAAGCTTCACATAAATGTGATATATGTGGCCACGTAGATTGTCTAAATATAAAGACATGGGGGCCTCAGAGGCATCGTATGTGAGCTCTGTCACATCTCTTAGGAGAGAAGGAGTCCCAAGAGCCATGCCTGCACAGCTACACACCGGATGCTACCTAGAGGTTGGGGGGCAGTCCCCTGGAGCATCTCTGCTGGGCGCTCTTTCCTTCAGTTTCTGAGAGGATTGGCCTAGAATCATATCCATCTTCCTCTTTCAAATATTGGAAATGTAGGGGATAATAGATTCATAATAAAATGGCTCATATTCACCAGCAGAGTTTCTCCCACCAAACAATGGCTCCACAACAGACCATCACAAACAGTGAATATGAGTAAACTAGCTTATCCAAGCAAAACAGCAAACAGAAATCAGAGAAATTCTACAGATGAGAATATATGCTTAAGACTGAATGAGTCCTTCAGCTGGGAATAAGATAAGATCTCAGCTCAAATCAAGAGAAACCATCAAGTCCCAGAAAAGGGCCACGCTCAGCAGGCTCTGGAATTTCAAGCAAGTGGAAGGACATGATGAGGCCAGCTTCCCCTGTATGTGTACCACTCTAAAGTTGGATTGTCTCTCCACCATACTCTGCGTAGAATATCCCTAGAGGGGGCAGCTAGGTGACAAAATGGATAAAGCACCTGCCCAGGAAGTCAGGAAGACCTGAATTCAAATCTGGCCTCAGACCAAACACTTGACACTTACTAGCTGTGTGACCCTGGGCAAGTCACTTAACTCCAATTGCCTAAAAAAAAGAATATCCCTAGAGTCAGCTCACTAAGTCCCTCAAACAGGTGTGAAGCATGGCAGTATGCTTGGAGCTTTAGCCAAAGCCAGATTACATAAAGATGACATTTTTAAAATTCAATTTTATTTTATTTTCATTTCCAGATTCTCTCTCTTCACTGATCGGGAAGTTAAGAAATACAAAACCCATTACAAATATGTAGTCAGATAAAACAAATGTCCAAGTTACCATATTTTAAAAAGAAAAAATGCACTTCAATCTGCACTTGGAGTCCATTAATACTCTACGTGGCAGTGGATAACATGTTTCATCACGAGTCCTTTGGAATTGGGGAGAGTCATTGTGTTGATCAGAGTAACTAAGTCTCTCACCATTGATTATCTTTAGAATATTGCTGTCCCTGTGTAGTGGTTCTGCCCACTTCCCAACAAAGGTGACATCTGAACTGAATTAAGCATAGATTGGAGGGGGCACAGTGAGAAAGGAGCACATTCCAGGCCAGGGAGACAATCAGTGAAAAGGCTGGGAGAGATGAGGAACAGAGAAAAGGTAGGTTGTAAAGTGTGAGAAGGGGATTAATGGCTAAGAAGCCTGGAAAAGCAGGAAGGGGCCAGGGCCTCGAAGGCTTTCAAAGCCAAATAGAGGAACTTAGATTTGCTCCAGAAAGTAAGAGACCCACTGGAGTTTATTGAGGAGGACCGTGATTTGGTCAGGCCTACATTTAAGGAAAATCATTTTGGCTCCCATGTAGAGAGGATGGATTAGAAACAGAAGAAATGTCAGGCAGGGAGACCTACTAGAGAGTGGTGGCCATAGGTGGAGGATAAAAATGATGCTAACTAGCATTTATATCTCACTTTAAGGTGTGCAAAATGCTTCACGCATTAACTCCTTTGATTTTCACAAAGATTCTGGGAGTTAGGTGCTAATATTCTTCTCTTTTACAGATAGGGAAACAGGTATAAAGAGGTTAAGTGACTTGCCTAGGGCCACAAAACTGAGGTAGGCCTGAGGTAGGATCTGAACTCAGGCATTCCTGACTCCAAGCTCAACAATCTATCCATTACTGTGTCACCTATATGGTACAAACATTGTTACAGAAGACTTTGAATTTCAGTCAATCAAAAAGGGTTTTTTAAAATTTTTTTTTCCTGAGACAGTTGGAGTTAAGTGACTTGCCTAGGGTCACACAGCTAGTAAAGAGTCAAGTATCTGGTGTGAGACTGGATTTGAACTCAGGTCTTCCTGAATCCAGGGCTGGTGCTCTATCCACTGCGCCACCTAGCTGCCCCTATCAAAAAGTTTTTAAGTGACTACTCTCCAAATGAGCACTGTGCTTTGCACAATTACAAAGACTGAATCAATTTCTACCTGCAATATTTTTAAAATTTTATTTTTATTTTCTGTTCCAAATTCTCCCCCCCGCCATTTTCCTCTATCCATTGGGAAGGCAAGGATTATGATACACATTTGAAGTAATAAAAAACATATTTTTGCATTAGTCATATTCCAAAAGGAAAAAAAAAACAAGAAAGAGAAAAAAAAAACCATACCTCAATCTGCACTAAGTCCATCAGTTCTCTATGTGGAGGTGGATAGCATTTTTTTTTATCAAGAGTCCTTTAGAACTGTGGTGGATCATTGTATTGATCAGAATTACCAAGTCTTTCACTGCTGATTTTTGTTGCTGTTCAGTTGTTTTTCAGTCCTGTCCGACTCTTTGTGACCCCATTTTGGGTTTTCTTGGCAAAGATACTGAAGCAGTTTGCCATTTTTTTCTCCAGCTCATTTTGCAGATGAGGAAACTGAGGCAAAGAGGGTTAAGTGACTTGCCCAGGGTCACACAGCTAGTAAGTGTCTGAGGCCAGATTTGAACTCAGGAAGATGAGTCTTTCTGATTCCTAGCCCAGAATTTTATCCACTGTGGTCACTTAGCTGGCTGAGCCAGGCTGTGAAGGAGATTAAAAGCTATACAGAGGTGTTTCTATTTTATCTTAGAGAGAATAGGAAGTCACTGGAGTTGAATGAGCAGGTAACAAGGTCACCTGTGCTTAGGGAAGATTACAGAAGTGTGTAAGACTCACTGGTATGTTAAGAGACTTGAGCCAGGAGACCAATTAGGAGGCTGTTGCAATCATCTGGGGAAGAGCTAAAGGGGGTCTGAACTAAGGTAGTGGCTGTGTGTGTGGAGAGAAGAGACTGGATGATAGGTATGTCATGAAGTTAGAAACAGCAAGATTTGGCAATTTATTTGATATGGGGTGACAGAGAGAGAAGAGTGCAGGAGAGTGCTCAGATTATGAACCTGGAAAACTGGCAGGATAGTGATGCCTTCAACAGAAATACAGCATCTTGGGGGCAGCTACATGGCGAAGTGAATAGAGCACTGGCCCTGAAATCAGGAGGACCTGAGTTCAGATTCGGCCTCAGACCAAACACTTGACACTTACTAGCTGTGTGACCCTGGGCAAGTCACTTGACCCCAACTGCCAAAAAAAAAAGAAAGAAAAAAGAAATACAGCATTTTGGAAGATGAATGGGGGGGGTGCTGCCTTAGACATTTTAAGATCTGGTAGTCAACTACATAGAAATGATTGAACGAATATGAACTAAACAGGTTACCAAGAGAAAGGGTATAGAGTGAGAAGAGAAGAATGCTCAAGGCAGAACGTCAGGGGAATACCCACAGTTAGGGAGCATGATGAGCCAGCAAAGGAAACTGAGAAGGGGGCAGACAGGTAGGAGAACCAAGAGAGAATAGTGTCATGAAGATCTGGAAAAGGTGATAAACAATGTCAAAGGCTGCAGAGGGGTCCAGAAGGATGAGGACTGAAAAACCCCCATTAGACTTGGCAATTAAGAGATCACTGATCACTTGAAAAGAGCAGTTTCAGTTGAATCATGAGGTCAGAAGCCATACTGCAGAGGGATTAGAAAAGAGGTAAGCCGAGTATAGTTTTTTGAAGGGAGGAAAAATATAGCTTGAAGGGATGGCAGAGTCTACCGAAGAGGAGTATTATAATTATTATTGTTGTTGTTGTTCTTAAAGAATGGAGACATGGGTTTGTTTGCAGGTAACAGGGAAGGAGCCCGTAGGTAGGGACGACTGGGGATGAGAGAGACGGAGAATCTACTAGAAGATAAACCGAGAAAGGAGTCATTGGCAAGTCCCGCTATTAGACTCCCAAACGAACTAGCTTGTCCCATATTTTGAGAACATTCGAAAAACCACAGTCTGTTGAGCCTCAACCAATCAAAGTCAAATCAGCTGAGCCCCAACCAATCAGAGATCAGCAACCGATCAATTAGGCGCTTTCCACGCAATGGTCTACAGCTTTGGATCGACTTTTGCGCCTGCGCGTGCGTCTACGTTACCTAGGGAGCGCGTTCTCCCGCTCGCCCGCTCGCTCCGCCCCTCGGGGGGCCTCAGTTTGGGCGCCCGAGCTTGCGCAGGGCGGGGCTCTCACTTTCGAATAGGAGAGTCAGCGCGGGAACCGTGCTTGGGGCGGTCGGGGCTAGCACTTGCTGTCAGATGAGCAAGCCCTGGCTTCCCTTACCTGCAGCAGGAGAAAGGTGGTCTTACTGAAGAAGGCTGTTCCCAAGGTAGGAGGAAGGCCTTGGGGGCGCGGGGGCGGCGAGGAGTGGGCTGGGATTAGGACTCCACTCCTCGCACCCCCACCCCGTGCTTTGGGCGGCTGGACGTGCCCAGGGGTCATGTGACCACGCTTGCTCCTCCCCCGCGTTTGCCCCCCCTTTGCGCTCGCCCTTTCCCCCGCGTTTTCCCCTCCCTTTGCGCTCGCCCCTCCCCCGCGTTTGCCCCCTCCCTTGCGCTCGCCCCTCCCCCGCGTTTGCCCCCTCCCTTGCGCTCGCTCCTCCCCCGCGTTTGCCGCTCTCTAGTGTGGCGCGCTTGAGCCGCGTCTCCCAGCACCCTCTGCTTCACAGGCTGCGGCAGGTCAGCCGGGCAAAGGGTCACGAGACTTCCAGTTGCACCTTAGCCCTGCGCCGGGTTTAGAGACAGGGAGCTCTGTCTGTCACCGAACTGCTGGCCATCCAGCTGCTCCTCACACATGACTTTCTCTTTTGTGTGTTTGCATGGTTGTATCTTTCCTTCGTGGGCAGCCAGGTGTTGCAGTAGATGGAGCACCAGGCCTGGATTCAGGAAGATTCATCTTTTTAAGTTCAAAACCAGCCTCAGACACTTGCTAGCTGTGTGACCCTGGACAAGTCACTTAACCCTGTTTGCCTCAGTTTTCTCATCTATAAAATGAGCTGGAGAAGGAAATGGCAAACCGCTCCAGTATCTTTACCAAGAAAACCCCAGTGGAGTGATGGAGAGTCAGACACAACTGAAAACGACAGAAGAACAACAGTAATAGGGAGTTGGGGCAGCTAGATGGATCAGTGGATAGAGTGCCGGGCCTGGAGTCAGGAAGGCTTATCTTTGTAAGTCCAAATCCAGCCTCAGACACTTGCTAGCTGTGTGACCCTGGGCAAGTCACTTCCCTCTGTTTGCCTCAGTCTCTTCATCTGTAAAATGAGCTAGAGAAGGAAATGGCAAACCACTCCAGTATCTTTGTCAAGAAAGTCTCAAATGGAGTCACTGAGAGTCAGATGATATAAAAACAACTGCATAACAAATCTAACCCGTGTGCCTCCAGTATGCTCTGTCTCTGTGCCTTGTACTTTGTTGATCTCAGGTTTAGGCAGGTGCCAGGTCCTGCTTTTCCTGATGCCCTCCTACCTCCAGAAAATTTTTGACAGAGAATTGGCCTTGGTGTTAAAAAGACCAGCCTTTCACACACACACACACACACACACACACACACACACACACACACAACACACACACGCACACACGCACACACACACACAACCTCCAATCCTCACATGATATTCTGGTTGTCACTACCTCAGACAACCCTCTATTGAGAGTCCTTTACCAATTAAGTCATACTTCTTGTGAGATTAAAAAAAATTGTGTTTACTCATCTGTATTTCTATTATTCCCCTCTAGTAGAACGTAGGCTACTTGAGGGAAGGGATTGTTTCCTTGTTTTGTCTTTGTGTCTCCAGGACCTAGTACAGAGTAGGTGCTTTTTAACAAAAGCTTGTTGAGTTGAAGTGAATCAAATCGCTCACTTTGCCCATCTCTGAAAGGGATGACCCAAGGTCCTTTCCGACTCTGAGAATAGCCAGCATTTATACAGCTGTTTGAAGTGTTTTAGGTGTGTTATCTCAGTCCTCACAACAACCCTGTAAGGTAGGAAGTGCTGTTGTCTCCACTTTACAGATGACGAAACTGAGGCTGGGGAGGGTAAGTGGCTTTCCCAGGGTTGAACAGCTAAGGAAGTATCTGAGGCAGTATTTGAACACAGGTCTTCAGACAGCAAGTCCCACTCTCTCTGCTGAACCACCTAACTGCCTCTAAAACCATTATCCTAAATTCCTTATACCCTGAGCCTACCTTTACCTTATCAATAAAATGGAGATCCTAATCCTTAATATTGCCTGTCTCATCCTTAAAAGAGAATTTAAACTTGAGTTGTTGCCTGTTCAAAGGTCATGCAGTTGCACCTTTGGCAGTCTAGTTGTCTGTTGAGAAAACAAAGGCTATGACTGTTTGAGTCTACTTGGCCTTCTCCTTTGGCTTTTTAACCAGGAAAGTTTTGCCTAAGTACATTGGGGGGGGGGTGCTAGATCAAAGAAGACAGAGAGGAAGTTCAGTTCAGGAAGGGTGTCATGGCACTTGTGCACGGCCTTCAGAGGTGGCCTGTACTGTTACCTGTAACCCTCAGAAGGGCCCTTCAGCCCTTGAATAGAAGCTCAGTATACTGACTTCTTTCCAGAAGCTTTTTGATAGAGTTACCTGTAGTCTTTGTCGGTCGGGGCTATCTTGTGATAATGAAAAGAACATTCCACTTTAACAGGTTGCTGCCCACTTGTTCCCCTCTAGAACTTCTGTGGTGATGTCTACTCCGGAGGCTGATTTATCACTGTTTATTCCTATTATACAAACCAATCCCTTAGCATGGAAAATGAGACAAAATGCGAGTGGCTTTGCACCCTTAAACCAGAAATATGGACAGAATGATAAGGAAGAATACAATGAGGGTGATGCTCTTCATCGAGCGTTAGGTAAGTACCTATGAGCTATGTATCCTGCCCTGTATTCCTCCGCAATAATGTCTTTATTGTCTTTCTTTTGATGGTGTTAAGTCACTGTATGGAAAACACTTAAATGAAGTTGTTTCTGGTCCTCTTAAGTCATCGTTGTTTCTTTCAATACAGTATATAGTGAAATGAACACTGGATTTGGAATTGGAGGCCCAGGGCCATAACTCTGCTTCTGCTAGTTTTATCTGTGTGAGCTTCTCTTTTGGGGGCCTTGGTTTCCTCATCAGCAAAAAGAGTTAGACTGGATAATTTCTAAGGACCTTGTCAGCACAATGATGTAACTACCTCTTTCCATGTTGGTTTTAAATCAGAATTAAGTTATTCTTATCATGATTGAAGACTACAGACTTCTAGAGATTTGTGGGAGGTTTTTGTGGTCAACTATTGTTGTCCTAGAGGTCAGTGCTGCCCTTGTTCCAAATAGGATAAATCAGATAGCTCCTTTTGTTATCTTTTAACATACTTTACCACACATGTTCCTGATTCCTTTGTAGTGAGAGTTAGATGCAGAATTCCTGAGGTTACAGATAGGACAAAGTCATAGTTTGTGAGAATAGAATTTATGGAAGTCAAGAGGTCAAATGGATAAGGCTAAAGTCGTCAACATTCTTAACTTTTCAGGGACAGAATATTTTCCCAGTTTAAAAGTGTGGTTGCTATAAAATATACTAGAAATGTAAGGAACAAAAAGAAGTTGTCATCATTCTGAGGCTAGCCTTATGAAGAGTTCAAGATTGTAACTTTGTTAGAAATGACCATGCACAATAATCTATGGTCTTCAGAGTTTCCCTTTCAATTTTCTAGAGCACATCAGGACTGTGAAGGAAAAAGGAGCAGTGGAGGAGAGACACTTGCAAACTGTGGAAGACATTGCTTGGAAGTCTGGGTTAGCACCCGAAGACATTGACACACTGTTAGACGTGGCACTGAGTGGTCCGTTTGGTATGTAGGGGCGAAGCTGACTTTGTGAGCAGTTTCCTAGTGTTTGTGCTCTCTCAACTTTGTAAGATTGTCATCCTTAGATTTCAATGTTTTCTAATTGGTGATAAAATAGGCATGTCTAATGTTGAAACTCTAAGGTGAGCATTTGTATACCTATGTATCCCACCTCTGCCACACACAAAGATAGTTATACCCCTGATCTTGCCATCACCCACAAATATGCTACTTTCCTATTCTGGAATTCTGAAATCACTTTATCTGACCATAATCTATTGACTTTTTACCTCTCCCTCTGCCTTCTCTTACAAAGCTTCACTCTTCATCTGTACCATGGCCTCTAGTCCCTTTCTCCCTCAGTTTCTCTCCCAGGCCATCTCCCCTGCACTAGCTGCTCTCTTTCCCTATCTTGGTTCCCCTTGGTGAACCAACTCAAATCTCTGCTGTCCTTTTCTTCTGAATCCCTAGTCCTCTTATATCACTCATTACACTCTGTCAGGCCTCAGCCTTGCATCATGCCTGCCATTCACTGGCTCCACTCTAACCTACGTGCTGCTGTGTGAAGGTGGGAAAAAACCACGCAGCCATTTTAACTTGATTCACTACACATTTATGATACACAAGTTCAACTGGGCCCTCGTTGCTACTAGGCAATCCTGCTCTCCACAGTAGCTCTTTCACACCTCTTCATCTCTTCTCAAGCCTCCCATGACTCCTCTTCCCTTGGCTTCTCCTTTAGCTGAGAACCTTGCTTTTTTTTACCCAAAAATGGAGGCTATTTGCAATGATCTCCCTCTCCTCCCCTCATTCTCATCCCTTGTCACTTAGGTGCCTTCTGCCACTCTCTGCTCTTTCACCCCTGTCTCATATGATGGGGTGGCCTTCCTTCTTACCAAGGCTAACCCCTCTACTTGTTCAAGTGATCGCATTCCTTCCTGGCTCCAACAGATTTCTTCCTCTGTCATCCCCACTCTCATTTATTTTCAATCTTTCCCTGTCTACTGGCTCATTTCCTACTTCCTACAAATATGTCCATGTCTCCTCCAGCCTAAAAAAACCCTCACTTGATCCTTCCATCCCTGCTAACTATTGCCTTATATTTCTTCTACCTTTTGTGGCTACACTCCTTGAAAAGGCCATCTACAATACATGCTTCCACTTTCTCTGCTCTCACTCTCTTAACCCCTTACAGTCTGGCTTCCTACCTTATTATTCCACTGAAACTGCTTTCTCCAAACTTAACCACTCTCTTAGTTGCCAAATCTAGTGGCCTTTTCTCGATCCTCACTCTCCTTGACCTTTCTGCAGCCTTTGACACTGTTGGTCGCTCTTTCCTCCCTGATATTCTTGAATGTCTAGGTTTTGGGGACACCACTCTTTCCTAGTTCTATCTGTCAGACCACTCCTCAGTCTCCTTTGGTGGACTTCTTCCAGATCACACCCTCATAATTGCAGGTGCCCAAAGAGGTCTGCCCTGGGCCCTCTTCTCTTCTCCCTCTATACTACTCTGCTTGGTGATCTCCTCAGCTCCCATGGATTTAATGACCATTTCTGTGCTGATGGTTCTCAGACCTACCCATCCTGCTCCAATATCTCATCCCAACTGCCTTTGGCCTTGTTCAGCATCCAGCCGATGGACCAACTCAGTGGGTTCCCAATCCCACCGCAGATCACTGCTGGGCAACAGGTATTCTGTCTCCAGTTGACTGTTTTTCTGTGTGGATTTCTAGGAGTTTTAATTTTTTTTGAGTGGTTGTGGATTTGACTGAGGTGTTCCTGTAACAGCCTGGAGCTCAGTTCGATCAGTGTCACATGATTTGAGAACCAAAGCATCTAAAGTACGTTAGTGTCTTGTGGATGTCACTCTCTTGCATTTGAACAGCTTCTGTAGTAGTAGCCAAGACCTTTTCTCAGCACTTTGCTGCCTTAGCAATGCCTTGCTTCTGACTGGCTTTCAGTCAGGGGTCCTTGAATAAAATTATCTCTGTGGCTGCATCTGTCAAGGACTCTGGGATGATCTTTCCATGTACATGGGAAACACCTTGTTTGAAGTAAAGTGTGAAGACTACATTTTGCTTTGCAAGGTCAAGTGCTTTTCTGTGATCAATAAGCATTTACATGTATGAACAAGAACATCAGAGGGTAAAAGCAAGAATAAAAAAGCCCCAGAACATTTGATTGAGACGCCACAAAGTGATTGTAAATGATTATACCTGCAGCTGTAACTTTTGTCATTTACCATTTTGTATGTATTGTTATTTTGTTGTTGTTCGGTTGTTTTCAGTCATGTCTGACTCATCGTCACCCCATTTGGGCTTTTCTGGTTTGCCGTTTCCTTTTCCAGCTTGTTTTACAGATGAGGAAACTGAGGCAAACAGGGTGAAGTGACTTGCCCAAGGTCACCCAGCTAGGAAGTGGCAGAGGCTGGATTTGAGTTCGTGAGGCTTGAAGCCACCTAGCTGGCCCAACTCCCTGTTGTTCAGTTGTTTTTCAGTCATGTCCAACTTCCAGTAGATCTTTAAATACATAAAGATGAACAGATGAAAAAGCGTTTAAGTGCTTACTATGTGCCAAGCACTGTGCTAAGATCTGGGGAGACAGTGAGCAAAGTCAGGTAGTGCCTGCTCTCTTGAAGCTCCCATTCTCATGGGAAGATAACAGCTGCAAATCGGGTGGAAAGCCTCCAGTGGTTCTTCAGGTGCGTCAGCAAAGTAGATGGGAATGCAAGGTTTTCAGTGTCATTGCCACTGATAAACTCTGATGCATTGATAGTGCCAAGGACTTGCTTTTCTGGGTCTCCAGTAGCTTTGATGGCTGAAGAGGCAGGGCTGCAGCATCTGCAGGTGCAGTTGCCAGGTTGAATCTCCTCAAAAGTGTCTGCCCTGGATAGTGACTGGAGTAGGCAGGCTGTGGATGCAGGATCTTTGGTTGGGGGTGATGGGAGCAGGATTATGTTGCTGTCCAGGGCTATAGCATTGGGTTTACTGGCCTGTAGGTGGCGGTTACCTAGATAGCAGGCCAGTTCTCCACAGATTTTTTTTCTCTGGTATGTGTCTTTGATTCTCTACGTGACACCTTTCCGTTGTTTGTGTATCCGAAGGTGTGGTCTGTTCTAGAAGCTAAAGCCTGCCTGTTCCTTTCTCATTTTTTCATCGAGAATACCCTTGTCACACATGCACATCATTGTCATCGAAAGTCACTTTGTGTGTCAGTGCTGATGTCCTCTTGATCATTCAGTATCCTCCCCTTTTTCCGATCCCTTGGAAATCGGTGCCTCAGTGCTTTGGAAACTGTGTCACCTCCAGATTTCCATTCTGTATGCTTGGTCTGGTTCAGCTGCTCTTACTCACTTCATCTTCTTAAGTGGCAATTCATCACAGCACTTTGGGATCCAAGTTGTTAAGAGACCAAAGGAGGTGATTCCGTTGTCACCCAGTGATGAAAATAGATGATTAGAGAAATATTGGCACAGCCAGTAGGCTTTTTCCATCTGTCATCCTTCCAGTTTTCCTTTAGAAGTATTCTTCAGATGATCTAGCTTAGTTGGGTCACATTCAATGCTTTATGCAAACTCATTTTTGTCTCTACCTTTCTTTTGATGTTCATAATCTTATACACACCCCCCACAGACCCCCTAATGAGACTTTGCAAATCTGTTAATATTCTGAAGCAGCAGCTTAAATAGATTGGTTGAGCTGTTCCATTTGCACACAGTATCTTCTCATCTTTATGTTGTAGTTTTGTATTAACTTGGCCTTTTGTCCTGCCTGGTTGATTTGACTGGTGCACAGATGATTGTAAAATGACTCTCATGTGGATCCTGTATCCTGCCAGGTTATGGTCAGTTTCATAGTTTTGTAGTGATGATTGTTACCTCTCTCCAAGCCTTTCTGATTCTCATGAATGAACGAAAAAGCATTTACTAAGCACAGGAATACGAAAACGAAAGGCAAGACAGTCCTTGCCCTCAAGGAGCTCACATTCTAGGAGGCAGTGACACCACATTTAGTGGTGTGCTGGCCGGGGAAGGGTAGAACCACAGGGGGCAAGATTGACACAGTAGCTGTGGCGGTATTTTTTAATTATGGTTGCTAAATAATCATGAGGTTCCTGAGTGATCCCCAAGCCTTCTGACCTGATGAACTCTTTTCTTCACCATGTTTTTGGCTATCCTTCATGCCCCCCTTTGATTGGTTTGTTTGTTTCTTTTTGGCTGGGCAGTGGGGTTAAGTGACTTGCCCAGAGTCACACAGCTAGTGAGTGTTATGTGTCTGAGGCCGGATTTGAACTCAGGTCCTCCTGCCTCCAGGGCCAGTGCTCTCTCCACTGCGCCCCCTCGCTGCCCCACCCACTTTTGATTTGAAGTCATTAAGCATCAGATGGATTTATTAATTTAGATGGTCTTGCCAAGTTCATCCAAGAAATGGTGAAGCTCCTTCTTCCCAGCAGATGTTGGTATAAAACCTAGAGTTATCTTTATGGTAACCACTTTCCTTATTCTGACAAGTGTGCCATGAAATTATCTCTCGTTGCCTTTGGGCTTGTGATCAAACCATCTCCTTCATTTGCTTCTTGAGCCTTCCTTCCATTTAACTGCATCTTCATTTACATATTTTGGTTTCATTTATAGTGAGAACATCAGTATTTCAAAAATTATTCTTTTTTTATTCTGAACTTAAGTATCAAATAAAACGAACATTTCCATATACATAGTAGAATAGAAAAAGATTGTACATGAAGCTGTTTATCTGTTTTAAGAATGTCAATATTGATACTGTTGCTGTGGCCAAAGAATTCTTCCCTTTCTTAGCTAGGCTGCCGCTCAGACAACAGACAAGGTCTGTCACTGGGAATGTGTTCCAAGCCTTTCTATCTTGCTCTTCTGGAGGCGGTCCAACTTGTATCAAGGTCATTCTTAAAATGTGATGCCCAGAATTGTACAGGACACTTCAGATTTGGCCTGCCTAGGGCTGAGCACAGCAGGATTATCACCTCCTCTTCCCTCTTCTAATGCAGCCTAAGATCATGGTAGCTTTTGGCACCTTGGACCCCTTTGGTGGTCAATCTGGTAAAGTCTATGTATAGACCTCTGCTCAGAAGAAAGTGTGGTTGCCTACATTTATAATAGAAGGAAATGCTACATTCCAGCTGCGAATTAGTTAAAATAAAGATGTCACTTTTTTCCCGTCCAAGTTCAAGGATTCCCCCTGAAATCTATTCATGGACCTTTTGTGGGTCTGCACCCTAGGTTAAGAACCCCTAAATTCACCTTTGGCTGTCATATCAACCCCTGGACTCGTTGGACTTGCCATCTGCTAAAAGACCTGAAACTTTTTCAGATCACTTGTTTAGACATCTTGTGTTTGGGAAGTTGATTTTTTTTAAACCCAAGTATAAGACTTTATATTTATCCCTAGTAAATTTCCATTTTCTTAGATTCAACACATCATTCTAACCTGTTAATTTTGGGGATCCAGATTTTGTCATCGGACCCTTTTAGCTTTGTGTGATCTGTTTTGATAACTGTCCGCCTTGCAGTTTTCTTTATGTGACATTCCATTTCCTGTCTCTGTACCTTTCTGTAGGCTCACCCCTAGGCCTGGAATTCTCTCCCTCCTCACATTTTGACTCTTGGGATTCCTGGCTTCCTTCAAGTCTCAGTTCAAGTGCCACCCCCTACAAAAAGCCTTTTTTAATTTCCTTCCATTCCAGTTGATAATGCTCTTGCCTGGCACCTTAAAATTACTTTGTATTTACTTTCTGTATATTTTGTATTTACTTAACTGTGCATGTAATAAATCATCCCAGTAGAATGTCAGCTCTTTGAGGGTAAAGACTATTGGGTTTTATCTCTGCTTTCCTAGCACATGGAAAGTAGGTAGTGAGTGCTTTTTGAATAAATCTGCCTTCATCTGGCCGTGGGCCAACTACAAATGCCTGAAGCGTTCCACTAGCGAAGGCCTTCCCGTTGACTTTTTATTTTTTGTTTGTGGTAAGGCAATTGGGGTTAAGTGACTTGCCCAGAGTCACACAGCTAGTAAGTGTCAAGTATCTGAGGCTGGATTTGAACTCAGGTCCTCCTGATTCCAGGGCCAGTGCTCTATCCACTGCTCCATCTAGCTGCCCCTGCCTGTTGACTTTCAACCATTAACAACTACTCTTTGACTCTGACCATTTTGTGAGTTCCAAATTTATATAACTGTTATGGTCTAACTCACATCTTTCCATCTCTTCTACAGTAGTAATGAGATTTTTGCCAAATGCTTCTTTGAAGTCTACGTCATTATTCCTTAGAGGGCAAGTGATTGCTTTGTCTTCAGAGGGTCTGGCTCCTTTCTCTGCTGAAGACCTTCCCAGCTCATCTCTTATTTGGCTCCAGGAGTTCAGTGGCCCTCCAGTCCTTTCCCCTCTTTCATGATCTTCTGCTTGCTGGTCTCTTGACACAGTGATCAGGTACCCCTGCCTTGTCACATCCTTTCTTTGTTTTATATTGTATCCCTTCTCTTTGTTGGGGGCAGGGTGGGGAGCTGGCAGAATGGGGAAGGCAGAAGAAAGAGGAAGGGGTATAACTTAATTCTTTCGGATAACTTGGCTCAGAATGACCAGATCCATCCTTTATTCTAGGCTTAAAAATGGGCACATCGTTTGTCCCCCTTTTTTTTTTTAATCCTTAGAGGGCATCTTGCCTCTATAGTTTCTTTAAAATAAAGCCTATTGAAATTGACTTTTCAGCAATATCTGCCAATTCGTTAAGTATCTTGCAGTTCCTGTTATCCCATTAACCCTAGCCTCTAAAGCTAATTAATACAGCCAGTGGTTTTTGTTGTTGTTGTTGGTTGGTTGTTTTTTGGTGAGGCAGTCAGGGTTAAGTGATTTGCCCAAGGTCACACAGCTAGGAATTGTGAAGTGTCTGAGGCCAGATCCTCCTGATTCCAGGGCTGGTGCTCCATCCACTTTGCCATCTAGCTGCCCCAGCAGCCAGTGTATTTAGCTTACCTTTTACTGTTTCTCTCTCTGACCTAGTCTGTCAGATTTGGAGCCCAGGCTAGTTAGCTGTTCTTGAAAAAGACATAGTGTCCAACTCTTGTACTCTTCAGTTATGAGTGTTCCCCTTTCTCTGGTTCTCTTATGCCTAAATAAAAAAATAGTGCATTGAGTCAGGGATATATCCAAAGGAGGTCCATGACAAAAAGAAAAGGATCCATATATACCAAAATAATTGGAACCCTTTTTGTCACAGCAGATACCCATCCGTTGGGGAACAGCAGCACAAATCGTGAGAAACAACTATGAATTTAGAGAAGATTGAGAAGACTTATATGAACTGATGCAAAGTGAAATGAGCAGAATCTAGAAAACAGTATATACAATGTAAATGGAAAGAACAAAATTAAGTGCTTTGAAATTATAATGACCCCGCTTAATCCCAAAGAAAAGATAGGCCAAGTCATCTCCCACCATTGCAGAAGTGGGGGACCATGAGTGCAACACCGCAAATATTGTCAGAATTTTTACATTGATTAGTTTTATTGGATTTTTGTTTTTGCCTCTTTTGTATTCTTTGTCATGAGAGATTGCTCCTTAAAGCATGTACATGTGGGAAAATACAGGTGATATAAAAAGAAAAGTATCAATAAAAACTCATTTAAAAAAAATTATTCAGTGGATAATAGTCTAGATCTCATAAATTCTCCCAAAACACTGTTGAAATTAAAGCTAAAATTCAGATCGTAACACAAACTGTAGTTTACCCAGCTGTATAAGAAATCAAGGGGGAAACAAAGTCTGGCTGTCCTCGGAGGCATATTCCAGTGAATTTACGGGAGCCACACTTTCCATTGGGATTCTTGGCTGTTATGGCTTTCTAGACAATCAAGCTGTGGCACTAGAGAGGGGTCTTCCTTGGCCACCAAATGATGACCTCTTTGGCCATGGGAACTTTTGCGTAATATAATATTAAAAAAATCCCTCATTTTGTTTTTACTTTGTCTCATGCTAGTTAAATCTTTTGATGATATTTTTAATCTTGCTTCTTATAATCATACTGTTGCTTTATATTTCCTCCTTAGAAATTTAATTTCGTTTCGTTTTTAGAGAAAGAAATTTTCGGGTTTCTTATAGGTCTTTTGTAGTTTTGAGGGCTTAGCCAACCTGTCAAAAGCTCCAGTAAACTGCGCTTTGTGTTAAGACCTAACTGGATTCAAGGGATAGAGACTATTATGTATTGTGTTATTTTTTAAATTTGGGCACGAGAGAGAACTGAATATGATTGGTTCTAAGTACACGAGATTATCCCCTACCTTATACTTGTAGAGTTTTTGAATGCAAGTATCATTGGAAATTTAATAGGGAGAAACATAACCTTCTTAGCTTCAGCCTAGTGATTTAGGCTTTTATGATCTTTTTGCATCCTGTCATGTAGTATGTTAGCAATCCCTCCCAGTTTTGGGTCATCTGTAAACTTCATGTGCATGCCATCTGTGCATCTTCATTGATCAGAGTGTTGACCCATGCTAAGCCCAGCCCAGCAAGACCCCTGGGACATTCTGTTGGAAACTTCATTCCAAATTGACATTGAACCATGAACTGTTCATGACTTTTTTTTTGTCTGACCATTCATCCATTTCCAAGTATGTGTAATTTTACTGTCATCTGGCCTACATCTTTCCAGCAAGAATAGCAGGAGAGACTTTCAAATGCTTTGCTACAAGTACTAAGTAGTGCCGTACTACTGTGTTGTAAGAAATGGTGAGCAGGTTGGTTTTAGAAAAACATGGAAAGACTTGCATGAGATAATGCGGAGTGAAACCAGCAGAATGAAGAGAATGTTGTATACAGTAAGAGCAATATTGTTCAAAGGGTAACTGACAGTGGGGCAGCTAGGTGGCACAGTGAATAGAGCTCCGGCCTTGGAGTCAGGAGGACCTGAGTTCAAAAATCCGGCCTCAGACACATAACACTCACTAGCTGTGTGACTGTGGGCAAGTCACTTAACCCCAATTGCCAAAAAAAAAAAAGTAACTGACTGACTAAGCTATTCTGAGTAATGTGATCGTTTAAATCAGGCCTGCACAACCTGTGGCTTGCCAAAGGATTTCAGGGGGCCTGGAAGTTTTTCTCTACATTTTTTATGGGCTGCCCAGAATCCTTTGGCAGGCTACAGGTTATGCAAGTCTGATTTAAATGAACTGTGAAGGACTTATGAAGGAAGATGCTGTCCACCCCCAGAGAAAGAACTGGTGTGTGGCAGTATGTATTGCGTGGTTCCACATGTCCGTCTGTGTCATCCCTAACGTGGGGTTAGGAAGGAGGAAGGGAGATGACTCGGAACTCAAAATGTAACACAGAAATAAATAAAATAAAAATGCTAGGTAGCCCGTATTGACACCATTTTCCTGACACTACTAGATTAGTAACCGTTTCAAAAAGAAAAAAAAAGGAGGAAAAAAAGACATTAGTTTTCAGTCTGGCAAGACTTGTTGAGAAGGTACTTTGTGATCACTGCTCCCTTTCCAGATATAAATGTTCACTAAAAATACCTCTTTAATGATCTATTCCCAAATTTGCTAGGGTTCCAAGTTAAGTTTATTGGCCTGTGGTTTTCAGATTCCATTCTCTCCTTTTTGAAAAATTGGAACATTTGCCCTTTCCCAATGGCTCAGCAGTCGTTTCCATCAGTTCTTTCAGTCCTTTTTGCTGGAGCTGAACAGGTCCAGAAGGTCAGTGAATTGCTTCCCTACGGGCCCTTTACTTATCTCAGGCATCCCATCTCTACTAGCCATATTTGTTTGGTCCTTTCCAGGCTAGAGATCATTCTGCTTTGCAGAAAAAAAGGAAATAACAATCCAGCCCTTCTGCCTTCTTCCTGCCATATGGATGCCTTCATTGAGCCTCTTTTCCCTTTTGGTTCTTTGTAGATCTCCTTGCTAGCCACAGCTCATTTTGAACATCAAGATGGCTAATACACCTTCTGTTGAGTTTGTTGAGTGCTGGGTTGGAATAGATAAGAAGTGTGATTAAGACCACATGCTTACCTTCATGGAGTTTACAGGCAAGCACACACACAAACACACAACTATAATACAGGATGAATGCATTTGAGAATAGGAAACAAAGTGCTTTTCAATTGGATGGGTTGTCATCACCTGGGGGTGGAGGACAAGGGAGGTGGCATCAGAGTTGGCCTTTAAAGGAACTGAACAACTGAATGGGTAAAGTACAGGCAAGAGGACATTCCTGGTATAGGAAACATCATGAAACCTCAGAGAGTCAGGAATCCTTGGAATATGTTCCAGAAACAGAAAATAGTTCAAGTTATTTAAAGTGTATGTTATACATGTAGAGAAGCAGCATGAGATAAGACAGGAAAGGTAGGTTGGTGCCAGATTGTGGCAAAGGAGATTGAAACTTAGTACGTAAGTAATAAGGAGCTTCTCATTTTCTGAACAGACCTCTGATCTCGTCAAAGTGCGACTTTCCTCCATCAGCATAGATCACAATCTATGTGACTCTTGTCCACATTATTTCCAAGAGCCTCCCCAGAGGTTAGGCCCAACACTGTAGATCTTTCTTTAATGGTAGTGAGTTTTTTGGTCGTGGCAAACCATGAAAATTAAAAGGTGATTGAGAAGTCAGGAGGGAGTGACACTAAGGACAATCCCTCAGCATTTCTGGAGGAGCTTCTGTATGTCTAGGTTTACAAAGATACTTAAATTTGTCACCATTGATATCTCTAGTCACTCTCTCTTCCTTTTTCAATTCTGTTGCAAGGTAACTGTCCTTACAGCTTTCTTTCATCCAGGCGGAGGAGGTGAGGTGCAATGGTAGAATGGAAATTGTTGTGAATGGTATATTGGAATTCTTGGAATGTTGGTGTCCAGAAGTAGAAGCTCACTGCATATAAAAGCCGTGTTCCAGGCCACATCACTCCTACCACCAGCTGGCAATGTTCAGATACTGATGTGCGTTGTGGGGTGTGCGTGCCTTGCTACCTGCTGCTTCCAAGGATGGCTGTATTTTGGTTTTTTCCCCATTCTTTATAAAAGAACTAGGAGCTGGGCAAATTGCTGTTTGTGTTAAGACCTTACTTTCAACTTGAATTTTTTTTTTTAATTCCTTTGCATGAGGGGTCTTTTGTGGGGATTTTTTGGTCGAGATGAGAGGGATAGGTTCTAGAAAAGAGTGGTTGGGGAAAAGACAAGAATCAGAGATATGCTTTCATCTGAGACTATTCTGTTTTCTAGCTGAAGCGGTAAAAACTCGGATGTTGAAGTGCCTCATTCCAGCAACTCTGATACCTGAAAGTGCTGTGGTTAGAGCTTTCTCCAGGCTCTGTGCTAGCAATTGTTCCAATAACACAAAGGTAATTGCCTAAATATTTTCAATGATGTGTTTGTGAGAGACATTTTCAGGATGGCAGTGGCTGCTTCTGCAAAAGGCCTTGGTCTGGGCACAATTCAACCTGACACAAGAACTTGGCTGAAAGAATTTGGACTGAGAGATGCAATTATTTCTTTGCATGTTAGAATGTTAGAGAAGGTCAGGTGATTAAACAGTCTCTAGGAAGGCAGCTAAGCTTCTGTGCTTTAGTCATGTTTACCTAAAGGCCAATGTTCTGTCTCTTGGTGTAGGTACTCTTTTTTCGATGGTTGATTGCAATGTTTGACTTCATTGATGGTAAGGAGGAAATGAACTCTCTCTATGGCTTCTTTTTTTCCTTTCTGCAAGAGGAAACTATGGTAAGTAAAAATGAGATAAGGGAATTGGTATTCCATACTCGTTGCATTCTTATATACTGCCCAGTAACACGTTGGGGGCGGGGTGTCTTTTTTTCTTCTATTTTTAAAAATTCTGAACTTTACAAATATCACATAACATGGGTATTTCCATATACCTGGAACATGAAGAGAGAATTATACATGCAAGTACAACTTTATTATCTTTAGCTTATTTTCTTTTTATGTATAGAATAAGTTCTACTTGTAGCTTTCAGAGATGGCTTGCTTGTCAGCTTTTTTCTGGCCTTCTATTCTCTAGTCTGCATTTTTTTTTGCCTGCATTTTTTTTAAATGCCTTAGTAACATTCTTGTCTTTATTGTCTTTTTATTTCTCTCAATTTTTTTTGACTATCTCAATTTTTCACCATCCCACCGCCCCATTGGAAAAAAAGAAAAGGAAAAGCTTCTGTAAACAAATATACGTAGTCAAGGGAAACAAATTCTCACATTGTATGTGTCTGAAACTTTTATATCTTACTCTGCATATTGAGTTGCTAACCCCTTTGTGAAGAGGTGGGTAGCCTACTTCATCATTAGTCTTCTGGAATTGCAGTTGGTCATTGCATTAATCAGAGTTACTGAGTTTTTCAAAGTTATTTCTGTTATTGTATAAATTATTCTTCTGGTTCGGCTCACTTCACTCTACATCAGTTCATATGGATCTTCTACATTTCTTAGGCATAATAATATTCTATTACATTCATATCCCAGAATTTGTTCTAGCCATTTCCAGTAGGTGCCCACCCTCTGAGTTTGTAGTGCTTTTGGCAGTAGAAAAACAGCTGCTATAAATAATTTGGTCAGATGGATCCCTTCCTTCTTGGATGTTTTCTCTCTTTTGCGTAGAGGCCTAGTATTGAGGTAGCCGGGTCAAAGCGTATGCAAAGCGTAGGGATTTGTGGGGCATAGTTCTATATTGCTTTCCAGAATGACTGAACCAGTTCACAGCTCCACCCACAATGCTTTGGTGTGCCTGATTTCCTAAAGCCATGACAGCATTTGTCATTTTCCTTTTTTTGGTCATTGTTGGCAATCAGATGGGTGTGAGGTAGAACCTCAGCATTGCTTTAATTTGCATTTCTCTAATTATTAATGATTGGAGCATTTTTTCACATTGCTGTAGATTGCTTGGATTTACTCCCTTGAGAACTGCCTATTCCTATGATTTCACCTTTTATCAACTAGGGAATAGTGAGTTTTTATAAATTTGAGTCTATTCCTTATATATCTTGGAAATTAAACTTTGATCACAGGAATTCGTTGGAAGGATTTTCCCCAGTTACCTGTTTTCCTTCTGATTTGAACTGCATTGGCTTTGTGTGAAAACTTTTTAATTTTATGTAATCAAAATTGTCCATTTTGTCTTCTGTGATCTTTTTAACCTTTGAGCATAAATTCTTCCCCTATCCACATACCCCAAAGATAATTCCTTCTTTGTTCCTCTAAATTGTTTTTGATGTGAACTTTTGTTCCCATGTATACATTCGTGTAGCCATTTGGAGTTTATATATGGTGTGAGGCGTTGGCTAACGCTAATGCCTTCCCAATTATTTTATAGTTTTCCCAGCAGCTTTTGTCAGCTTTAAATCTTTACCCTAGTATCTGGGATTTTGGGGTTTATCAAACATTGTGCTATTATGCTAGTTTGCTTCTGTATGTTGTATAACTGCTCTGTTCCACTGATTGACCTCTCAGTTTTAGTACTAAATTGTTTTGATGGTTACTGCTTTGTAGCATGCTTTGAGATCTGGTACCCATCTTTCCCTCCTTTTTTTTTCCCTTTTTTTTCTTCTTCTTTTTTTTTTTTGTGAGGCAGTTGGGGTTAAGTGACTTGCCCAGAGTCACACAGCTAGTGAGTGTCTGAGGCCAGATTTGATTTAAGGAAGATAAGTCTTCCCAACTCCAGGCCTGGTACTCTGTGCACTATGGCACCACCTAGCTGCCCTTGGTAGATAGATCCTCCAACTATTTTATGCCTTAATCTATATTTAATTATAATTGAAATAATCCTATTATTTTCAATGGAATTTCGCTTTATTCTCTTCTGGGTTTTGTTGGTAATATACAGAAATGCCAATAATTTACATGGATTTACTTTGTATTCTCCAACTTTGCTGAATTTATTGTTTCAGTTAAATTTTTAGTTGACTCTTTAAGGTTCTCAGGATAGACCATCATATCATCTGCAGAAAGTGATACTCTTGTTTCCTGTTTGCCTGTGTTTATTCCGCCTTCTGGCTATTTTAAATCGTACTGATGATAATGACCAGTGTGGATGAGAATAAGTATATTTACTTGACTACTCATCTGATTGGAAAGGCCTCCAACATCTGTTCCACGTGATGATAATCTGTTTCTGCCCAGTTGCTCCTCTTCCCAACTGCAAGTTTTTACTTTCTTTTTTCTTTTCATTCTTCTCTTCCCATTCTGCCCTCCACTGTCAAAGACACTTGAAGTTTTGAGCTGAGTATATGATGGAGACTGATGATCCTGTTGACAAAAATGTGGAAGCCAGGAGAGAGAAGTCCTTTTGGAAGTTTGATGAGGAGATTCCATTTGAGGTGACTGGGGTACAGCCATATTGCATTGAGATCTTCTAGGGCTTTTGCTGTCTACCTATTCCTGCATATCAGCTCTTTTGACCAGAGCATTGATTCTATGTGTAGGCCCCTCAGCTTGGATTATGGAGCATGTCCTTTGACCATTTATCAGTTGAGGAATGACTGGCAGTCTTTTTCTGCAGCCCTGGACTGGCTGGAGGAATTTACAGCTGATTCTCTTTGGTTTTCTTTCTTGTCACTTTTTCTAGTGAATTTTGAGAGCTTTACCCAGCGTGTCTGCTAGGAATTTGGGCTCCATTGGGCTCCTCTAGGACCTAATGTGCTGCTGGTGCTATCATACGATCTCTGTATGTGACCAGGCCAGCAGTTCTAAAAGTGTGGTCCAGGCCCTCCGGGGGGTCCCTAGCACCCTTTCAGGAGGTCAAAACTACTTTGTAATTAGTACTAAGACGTTTTAAATACAGATAAATCCCACATAAACAAAAGCTCTTTAAGGGAATCCTCAGTAGTTTTTAAGAGTGTAAAGAAGGCCTGAGGCCAGAAAGTTAGAGAACTACTGGTCCTGGCCAGTTCTCCACATTACTAGCCCTCATTGAGCAGCTAGACGACTCGGTGCATAGAGCACTGGACCTGGAATGAGGAAGGCCTGAGCTCCAAGACAACCTCAGACACTTACTAGCTTTGTGACCCTGATCAAGTCACTTCACCGCTGTCTGCCTCAGTTTCTTCAACTGTAAAGTAGAGATAATTATAGCACCTGCCTCCCAGGGTTGTTGTGAAAATCAAATGAGATCCTATTTGTAAAGCACTCAGCACAGTGTCTGGCATGCAGTGGGCATTAATAAATGCTGCTTCTTTCTTTCTCTCCTTCCTCCTCGTGGTAGACTCACTGTCACCGTATTGAGCTCCCCCAAGGCCCAGTCTCCCCTCCCAAGGCAGACCACACAGATCGCCTTTGTTCTCTGGACCGGTGCTGTTCTAGTACAGCCAGTGCACAGCTTCTCCAGGAGCATTTGACTCGTACTTTCTTGGCAAAGATCCAGGAGTGGTTTGCCATTTCTTTCTCCAGCTCATTTTACAGGTGAGGAACTGAAGCAAACAGGGTGAAGGGACTTGCCCAGGGTCACACAGCTAGGAAGTATCCAAGGCCAGATTTGAACTCAGGAAGATGAGTTCCTGACTCCAGACCCAGCATTCTATCCACTGCAGCACCACCTAGCTGCCCTCTGTAATATGAGATAATGTGAAAAATAACTATTCTGTAAAGGAAAGACATTTGTAGGGGCCCAGAGTTAGTGGTTTTGAGTAGACATTGACCCTTGCCTGCTTTGAATCTAGAGTTTGCTTTAAGGGGATTCAGTGAGGGGGACCTAGATATTGCATGTAAACAAAAATGGGATCTGCCTCTTTTCTTCTTCTATGCATTCTTTGTTCCTAGTTTTGTCCTCTAGGGCCAAGCAGAAAACATCTCAGCCTTTCACTTCCTTGAAGGTAGCTTTCCTGTCCCTCCCTAAGGCTTCTTTTCTCTAGGATAGATATCTTCATTTCTTGCCAACAATTCTCGTGTGGCATGGATTCCAGGCTCTTCAGCATCCAGGTAGCCTGTCAGTGTGCTCTGGCTTATCGCCATCCTTCTGAAATTCTGGGGGTGTTCTGGTCAGTAGAGAGGACAGCGGAGCTGACACTTGGACCTCTTTGGTAGATTAGCTATGCTGTCACCCTGTTGGTGCACATTGAATTCGCAGCCGACTGAAAGTCCAGCCAGATTTTGTGCTTCTCCCCCCCACCCCCAACATCATGCCTACTCATGGTTCCCCTACCCTGAACTTGATATTGTCTATTTTTAAACCCAAGTATAGGATACTCCATTGGTACCTATTCAATTTTCTGTCATTACTCTGTTGAAATCTTGTTGATTACTGATTGGTGAGTGTTACCTTTGCTTTGTGTCCTCTTCAGGTCTCGTAAGCAGGCCTGTTTCTTTCTCTGCATCCCAAAGTGTAATTTCTTTCTTATGGTAAGTGGTTAGAGCTGCCTTCTCAGTGTCATGTAAGAATGAGGTTGTCTTGGACTGGGAGCTCTTACATATGGAGGGGGGGCTGTGGGGGACCTATGGCCATGCTCCAGCTTTCAGGATAACAACCTTACTTAAAAAGCAGGTTTATGTCAGCCCCACACAGCTACATACAGAGCACCCTTCTGCCTTAAAAGGATCTACATATCTGTAAAAAGAGGGAGAAGAAAAGAAGAAAGATTCTGGTGGTTTAGGATCCGGTGTTAGCTCTGAAATGCATACTGCTAGTATGAGATTCATGGTGCCTGGGGAGACTTCGAAACCAAGGGGTCCTCAAAGGAGACACCCCCCCCCCACACACACACACCATAGAGGAGTTTATGATA